CTCCTCCTCCCCCTTCCTTTCTCCCTCCCCCACATACCTCTCCTCTGGGCAGTCTTGCCTCCCTGCTTCTAGCAGACTGCAGGGAGCAGCGATTTTGAACTTTGGCCAGCACCAAGAACAGGAAAGTGGTTTGGCTGGAATGCTCCCCACCTCCTTAGGCACCAGTACCGCAGGTCTGGGGGGCCCTGGAATCTGCATTTTGCAGGGTCCCTAGCTGATGCTGATGAAGGTGGTTCATGAGAACCAGCGGTCTAGAGTAGAAGAGGTTTTGTGAGAAAACTCAGGACAACTTGGAAGGACCCAGCCTGACCCAGACACAGAAACTTAATCTCTGGGGAACTGATGACTGCGCTGTGTGGCAAAGGGCTTACGAAGTCACCAGCTGAGTTATGCGCGGATCAGAAAAATTCTCCGTGGTTGCTTCCGCGGAGCTGGGGAGCTTTGCTGTGCTCAGTGGCTGGAGCCCAGACCCTGGCCCTGCCCATGTGTCACCCACCAGTCATAGGGAGATGCTGTGAGTGTGGATGGAGCGGGGCCAGCACCGCCATTGTGGAAAATGCACTGAACATGGCTTCCTGGCCTGAGTGCGCTGGCCAGGGAGCTGGTGAAAAATGTTGGAGCACCAGGGAAGAGCGTGAAGAACGCTAAACCCACATCCTACTTATGTTGCTGTATGAGGACAACTTCACAACATATTCCCATTGGGGCACATTCTGAAACTCAGGAATTTGGGGCGATTTCTCAGATTAGGATTATAACTTCCCCTTTAGAAGCCTCTCCAAATGGGATACAGAGACAGATACTGGTGACAGGCCCTGAGACCCTCCCCAGCCTGTGCATTCCAGAGGTTCTGTGGCTTCCTCCGCTCCGCTCCGTGGAGGTGCTGTGGCTAGCTGGCGGGGAGGAGAAGGGACCATCAGCTGCCTGCCGTAATGACCATCAACACCCCCATGGCCCAGCCCCTCCAAGCTTTAACTCTGGGTTAAAAGAGCCTGTGGGCTCTGCAAATACCACTTTAAACCACGTCCCCGGGGCTAGACCTTTCCAACACATTGCCAGCCCTCAGCCCCTCCTCTACAGAAAGCCTCTCTCAGCTCCATTCTTCCATCTCGCCCTCCCCCGTGGTGGCAGAGTCTGGTGGGATAATGAGAAAATCACCCGGTGAGGATCAGACAGGCTGCCCAGGGCAGGCTCAGAATTCCCACCACTACCCTCCTCTGGGCATTGAGAAGCGTCTGCTCTAGGAAGGCAGACGGGGGCTGGCATGCCTGGGGCCTGCCCCACCTCCCAGCAGCACCCTTTCCAGCACCCTGTCTCTGGCTCTTAGCACCAAAGCCCCAAGGCTGGGACTCAGTTAAACTTCCTGAGGAAAGCCCAGCTGATGGAAAGCCTCCCTGGAAGGAGGATGATTCCAAATGGGTGTCCCACTCAGCAGGCCCCCTGTTACCCGCCTTAGTTTCCTGAGCCCTGCTCTCTGTCCCCTGGTAAGTGCTTCCTCTCCCCCGAAACACACACACACACACACACACACACACACACACACACACACACACGTGCACAGCCACAGGCCAGTCTTTAGCCCCACGTACTCCCGAGAGCCCCAGGCTGAACATCAGGCCGTCCTGCAATCTCACTGAGCCAGCTTTCTCTTCCTCCCCCACCTGGCTGCAGTATTCCTACGAAGGGATGGAGATCAACAACTTGCCCGTGGAGCTGACAGTGGTGTGGAACGGCCATTTCAACATTGACAACCCAGCTCAGAATAAAGGTGGGGACGGTGGGGCTGGCGGGGGAGGCGGGGAGGAGGCAGAGAGCGGCTCTGCTCTCCTGGGCAGGTGTCATTCTGTCCCCAACCCTAGTGGCTGTCCCTCTCCCTCTGGCCCCAAACCCGCCCCCCACAGCCTCTCCACCATCCCACCTGCTCTGTGACTTGTTGGGCGTGGGCTCTGCGTGGGCAGGAGGCTTCTGGGGGCAGAGCAGAGTGAGCAGGGCTGGCTGACAGGAGCACCCACTGATTCTGGAGGGAGACTGCCCTTCCTAGTTCAGTCCCATCACCAGAGGCTGGCACTGCGCTCCTTGTCCACACTCCCCGGCCCCTCCCAGCCCCCCCGCGCGCCGGGGACGCACAGAAGCCGCATTCAGCGCGTCCGGGGCTGCGCTGCGCCCCCGCCGGCGGCCCAACAAGGCGNCTAAAGTACCTCTGGCCCTCTGCCCGCAGTTCACCTCTACAAGTGCGGAGCCATGCGCGAGAGCTGCGGCCTGTGCCTCAAGGCGGACCCAGACTTCGAGTGTGGCTGGTGTCAGAACCAGGGCCAGTGCACCCTGCGGCAGCACTGCCCCGTCCACGAGAGCCAGTGGCTGGAGCTGGCGGGTGCAAACAGCAAGTGCACCAACCCCCGCATCACAGAGGTAGGCCACAGCCCAGTGGGTCCTGCACAGTGTGAGTCCCCCCAGGGATCCCCGGGTGCTTTCAGTGCCCGGCTGGCTGGGGGCACCTCAGCTTCCGCAGGATCTGCAGCTCGGGTTCGGAGGCCCGTCCCATATCAAGGGAGGCTGAAAGCAGACAGTGGCTCGCCCCTCCTGTTGGAGTCTCCACATGAGCTGTTTCAGAAAGGACACTTAAGTCCTTTCTAAGACCCTTTGTCTCTAAGAGCCTCGGTGACAAAGCCGTGATGCTCCGAAAGTGGCAGCCTCACCAAGCAGTGGGCCCATGGCCGAGGCTGCGTGGGGGTCACGGGCGCAGAGCCCAGCCCTGGGGAGGTGGAGGAGGTCAAAGCAGAGAGGCCTCAGGACTCACCCAAAGCAAGAGCTAAGCTGTAAGGTGGCAGAAATGGATTTGGAGCACAGTTCAGGGTACCCAGGGGACATAGGCCGTGGATAAATACTGCTGAGGGGCAGGGTAGAGCTAACCATGCAGCTATGTGGGTGACAGAGAACAGGGTTTGAGTCCCGGCTCTGTCAGCTAATTGCTGGGCAGCCCAGGGCTAAGGCATCACTATCTTCATCCTCAGCTTGCTCACCTGTGCAATGGGTCCATGCATCACAGGGAAGTTGTAAGGATTATAGGGGAGAATCCACGTCCAGCCCGTGGGGATCTCTCATTCTTGTCCCCCTCCATCATCAACATTGTTAAAATCATTGCCGCACGTGTCTCAGCCAGGGGAATCACTGCCCCTGGGTTTATTTAGGTCACCTGTGTCTCCACCTCCCCACTTCACACTCTTGGCAGAAAGACCCCCTGAGGTCCCCCCTCCCACCACAGCTGGAGTCCCTTCTCCCCTGTAAAATAAGGAAGAGGTACCCATGTGTCAACAAAGGGACCACGTCTGCCTCACGTCTGTGCTTCTAGCACAGGGCTTAGCACATAGCAGGTGCTCAATGCCTCTTGGCCACAGTGGACACTGATTTAATGACAAAGCTGAAGAGGGTGGACAAAAGAGGAGGGAGAAGAAAGATAGGTCTCTGCCTCGTCCACAGTGAGGATGCACTGGGTGTCCAGCTCTGTGCAAAGTCCCACAAACGCATGTGTACCTGATAATCTAACTATGGCCATCTAATAATAGGCCGACTATCTGTGTGGTGCTTTATAGTTTGCAAGGTATCTCCATATCCCTTACTCTATCAGTCCTTACAGCATCCCTGCCTTACAGGTTCCTGGGGCTGCCACAGCAAAAGACCACCGACAGGGTGGCTTAAACCACAGAAATGTGTTATCTATCCATATAGGAGGCTGGAAATTCAAGATCAAGGTGTTGGCAGGGTTGGTTTCTTCTGCAGGCTGTGAGGGAAGGGTGTATTCCAGGCCCCTCTCCTTGGCTTGTAGGTGGCTGTCTTCTGCCTGTGTCTTCACCCAGCTTTCTTCTATGTGTGCCTCTGTCCAAATTTACCCTTTCTATGAGGACACCAGTCATGTTGGATTACGACTCAGTCTAACGACCTCATTTTAACTTGATTACTTCTGCAAAGACCCTTTCTCCAAATAAGGTCACATTCTGAGGTACTGAGGGTTAGGACTTCAACATATGGATTTTGGAGAGACGTAATTAAACCTACAATGCTTGCCAAAGCTAGGATTATTATCACTCATTCTTGGATAAAAAGACCAATGCTCAGAGATGTTTATTTCTTCTAAGCAAGTGTGAATCAAAGTGGCCCTGAATCCTGGGTTGCTTGATTCCTAGGTTTACATTCTCCCACTGCAAAGGCAAGACCCCTCCCCTCCCATGTGTTCCCTCTCCCTGCAGAGATGCATGGAACATAGATGGGTGTCTTGCCTTTGTGCTCACACACCAGGGACCCATAAAAGCAAGAAGTTTGGCTTTTGGGACTGAACAGCCTCCTTCGGCAAAGTGACCCTTCGTGGGTGGCCCTCTAGATGTTCCCCCTACTTAGGCTCCTTTGTCCCCCACATTCCTGGCTTACCAGATGCTGGCAGCTTCCCTCAGCCCCTATTTCAGTCTCCTGCTTGGGTAGGAATCTCAACAGTGATCCTCATATTGGAGGGAAATCCTTATGCATTTAACCTACAGGATTATCTGCAAAGAGAAGGCCAGTGGGCGCCCCTCTGTCCCCTGCCCCTGGTCCCACATCTGGCCGTGTCCCGCTCTCCCTCCTTTTCACCCAACTCTCCCCTCCTCCTCCCCTACCCCCCAGAGCCCTTAACAAGCAACCAGGCTGGCACGCATGACTGCTAACCATGCGCCTGGTGAAACGGTGGGACTTGCTTTCTTCTTGGCCTGAGACCAAGAAAATCGCAGGGAGGCGATGGCAAATTAAACAAATCTCCCTGCGACGGAGGCTATTTACTGGCTCCATACTGGCATCGGCCCCCCAGGGAACCCAGGGAATTGAGGACTGGGCCAGAGATAAAACTCCTTTTTCAGGACGACATGCCAGGGCTGGAATATTATATATCCCCTGGTGCCAGGTGCCAGTGGCATTTTGGGGACTGGTTGAGCAGACATTTGGGGAGAACATGGACTTTACCTTCCTGATCTCCCTATATCTGCCTACCTCCCTCACACAGCAATGGGTCTGTGCCTCCAAAGACCCTTTGTTTCCAATGCAGTGGGAACACACCTGTGCAAACCCTCACGCTCACGTGCACGCTCACTCACAAACGTTCACACCCACACGTGTAAGACACAGGAAGTATCTTGACTTTTGTAGGTGAACAGCCTCCCCCTGGCAAATCTGCCACTCGGGGGTACCCCAGCCTCATTTCTTTTCCTTCTTCATCTTTCACTGTCCCCCCAGGATGGAACCCCCAGTTGTGGCCTTTGGGGGGTGGAGAGAGTGGGCAATGTTAAGAGGTGGTCTATCTGGGCTCCTTCAATTGTAATCCCATTGACATTGGCCAAGATCCACATGCTGGTGTTCAGAGGCCCCAGGAGTGGGAAATGTGCATTTCTCTTGTCTATCAGATGCCAGGAGAGGCTGGCACAGCGTGCTTCTACCGCCAAGGTCACTACTGCGGAACGTCACAATTAGATCGTGTGAACTGGATGGAGCCCTTCCTTCAAAGCAGGCCCTTGGTTGTTGGACCTGAACATTCTAATCGTGGGTTTTAATACCACCAGTGCCATCTTTGGAGGGAAGGCCAGGCATGAGGGTCAAGTCTAACTAAATTAAACCCAAGAAACCAAGCCAAGCAGTGAAGGTCAAGGGGTTGTGACAAATGCTCTGCCAACTCCAGGAAGATGCTTGGATAGCTGGGGTTTGCAATACAATTTCAACTCAAGAAACAAATACGAGGCTGTCACTCAAAAGTCCACAAAGAGAAGTGAGACACTGTCCTTGCTCTCAGAGGCTCCGGGTCTGATGAGGAAGTGGGTGGGGGATGGAAGGATGGGGATCAGACACAAGCGTTACCATGAAAGGAGCCCAAAGAAGGTGCCCTGAGATTCCAGTTGCAGGGGAGCGGTGTTGGAGAGCGAGAGAGAGGAGGGGCGGGAGAGGAGAGAGACTATCTGGTGACGGTAAGTGACATTAGAGAAGAATCTTAAAAGATAGGTGGATCCCGATAGTGTGGAGGGCTGTGGTTCATAGAGGGGTTCTTCATTTTCCTTGAGAATAGAAGCCACACAAGCAAATGCCAGATGAATTTAATCATGATTTTTCTATGAATTGCCCAGTAACCTTGGGGATCACATTCCATTCCCTCGTCTACGAAACAGGAAGGTGAACGAGGGTCTTTGAACACTGCTCCTAAAATCACACACAAACTTGGACTGCTCTAACCGAGGCTCCTACCCACTGACAGTCCCAGACCTTGGTGCCCCCGTGAACTTGAACCCAACTCAGGGAATTGGGTAGAGAGGGAGAATGCCAGCAGGATTTCCTTGCACCATCGCCCCATCAGCAAATGGGTGACGGTTCCATCTTGGTGCCTGCCCAATCACAGTGCTTCCTCCTTCCAGATAATCCCCGTGACAGGCCCCCGCGAAGGGGGCACCAAGGTCACCATCCGAGGCGAGAACCTGGGCCTCGAGTTCCGGGACATCGCCTCCCACGTCAAGGTGGCCGGCGTGGAGTGCAGCCCGTTGGTGGATGGCTACATCCCTGCGGAACAGTAAGTAGAAGTGACCTGAGACAGAGAAGTACAGGAGGGGAGGGAAGACAAGCCATAATAAACAGTCTGAAAGCTTATGGAGGTGAAAAGAGAATACCCCTAATATTCTAGGGGGGTTGGGGAGGCTCCCACAATTCCCCAGTACCTAAACTAGACAGCTGCCATATTGGGGGAAGTGTAGAAAGGGGGAAAGGCTGGGAGAGAAGAGAAAAGTCACTGTTACCTCCTTGGGCTGTGAGGGCGAGTAGGAGTGAGACAAAGCAAAATTGAAATCTGCAAGAGAGATGTGCGTTCAGTTTGTTACCCCCAACTCCCTCTGCTGTCCCTAACTCCCCACATACGCCGTCCCCCAATTATAAAAAAAGCTGACCCTGAGCTACTCTCTGTGGAGGCTGAAAATGAAACTGCATTTGCCTGGATTGTTTTTCTCTTTGCAAAATCCGCTGGTCCACTGAGAGGGTCATTTGGCGAGTGACCCTGACCTCTAACCTACCTGGTGGAGGAGATCTGTGAGTCATGGATTGCCTTGTAAATAAGTAAACACAATTTTCCAGCCCAGCAAACACAACCATGAAGTGTTTACCAGCACAGTAGAATCTATAGTCTCTACCATCTTTGCTGCCCCTCCCGGAATGAAATCTTGCTACTTGTCCTGTGTGCAGAAGTTATTGAAAGGCCTCCCTTGGGTAGGTCGGTGCAAGTTTATATTTCCACCTGCTGGCTTTCTCCTGGGTTTAGTAATCTGGAACCATCAGTACAGCCATCTTCAATTCCTCCTGGTCTTCCCAAGGTGCTCAGAGCAGGTCAGTTGATTGAACTTTTCAGTCCTGGTAGGACTCACCTCCCTGGTCTATCACTGTTTATTTACCCAAAGATTTTTCTATGCCTCCTTCAACTTTCTGAGCCCTTCCTAGAACAAAACCAAAGCAGGCCGCTACCAATATATTGTGATCTGGGGGACTGTGAAATGCTGTCCTCGGGACCTGCATAGCCAGATATAAAAAATATTATTATAAAGCCACATGATTGAAATATGGTGGCACCATTCAGATCCATGGAATAAGAATCCTGATCTATAAACATTTAATATGTGATAAAAGTGACATTTCAAATCAGCGAGGGAAGGAAAGATCATGCAGTAAGTGGAGCTGGTTAACTCCCTCAAAAAATATATATATAGTATCAGATCCTTATTTCACATTATAAACCAAATAAATTCCAGACAGATGAAAAAGTTAACTGTAAAAAATGAAACCGTGAATGGATTAGAAGAAAATACAGGTGAGGATTTATCTGATTTCAGGAAAAGGCAGGTGTTCTGTAACCGCAAAAGAAAAAAAAATTATACAAGAAAAGATTAGAAGATTTGAGTAATAAAACTGAAAAACTTGTGTGTCAAAAATCATCATAAGTAGAATAAAAATATGAACGATAGACCAGGTATATGGTTATACACCCTCTTACAATTCAGAGATGCTTTTTCTTAACATACATAGATGTTTTATAAATAAAAAGCAAATACCAAAAAATGAGCAAAGAGCATGAATGAGCAATTCATAAGATACATCAAGAACTAAAAGTCATATAAAAATGGTTACCATCAGTAGTAATCAATGAAATGCAAATTAAAACAGTAGGGAACAATTTTAAAAAGTCAATGGCCAGTGTGGGTGAGCGGTATGAGAAATAGCGCATTCATACATGCACATTAGGAAGGTAAATTGGGATGATCTTTCTGGATTGCAGTTGGGAAATGTGGGTCGAAGGTCTTCAGCCTGGCCATCATATTTCTAGAACTTTCCTTAAATAACCAAAATGCACAAATATTTTATTTTGCAAGAATGCCTATTTCAGCTTTATTTATAATAGTAAAAATTTAGAGGCAATTTGTATGTTTGAAAATAGGGAATTAAATCAATTCAATAAATTATTTTATGTGCACAGGACAGTAAAGTACGTAGCCATTAAATCTGATATTATAGAGGAATCATGACCTGGAATATACTCAAGGTATATTAAGTGAGAACACAGGCTACCAAGCAGAATACAGAGTTTCTAATTAATTTTATGAATGAAAAGGCAAGTTGGAAACATGTACACAAAAATGTTGACAATGGATTTTCTGGGTGATGCAACTGGGGGGTAGGTATATGTACAGCAAGTTCTTCTATGTACTTCCTTTTTTTTTTTTTTTACACTAACATGGCAAGTGCTTTTATGTATTCTCTATTTTTTTTTACACTGAACATGTATTAATTATGTTATCTAGACAGAAAGCCAACATATATATTTTTGCTTTACTCTCACCTAGAAGTTCTAAGAGAAAGATAGAACCCGGAAACTATAAAATAAAAGAGTACTTTTTTTTTTTTTTTTTGCTGAGCCATCCTGCTACCTGTTGGCAGCTCAGCGGCTGCTCAGCTCAGGCTGGACTCGAACCGCTGTTGCTCANCTACCTGTTGGCAGCTCAGCGGCTGCTCAGCTCAGGCTGGACTCGAACCGCTGTTGCTCAGAGCTCAAACTCTTGAGCGAGCTCTTAACCAACTGAGCCACTCGGCCGGCCCAAAGAGCACTTTTAAAGTTTATGGTGGCAAAAGACATAAACAAAGTTGAAACACAGGTGACCAACTGGGAGAAAATAATGCAATATTTATTTCAGACAAAAGTTAATATTCCTAATTCAGCAGCTTCCACAAAAGGACAATCCAGTAACAAAATAGAGGGCTTCAGATAAGTCAAAGGAAAGCCTGTATAAGATTTAAAAACACACACACAGGGGGTGACCAGTTAGCTCAGCTGGTGAGAGCGTGGTGCTGATGACACCAAGGTTGCCAGTTCGATCCCCGCATGGCCACTGTGAGCTGCACCCTCCCCTAAAAGAATCAACTATGCCATTGTAGCATGAAGGCCATGTTTAACCAATGACAGTGACTGTTCCCCAATAAAATTAAAACACACACACACACACACACACACACACGAAATATGTGCACCCTCACAAGTAATCAGGAAAATAAAATTTTTAATTAAAATATTTTTTTTCCTATTATACTGGAAAAACGTTCAAACCCTTGGAAATATCTAGTGTTGGCAAAAGAGTGAAGTAATCTCTCTCAATTACCGTTGATAGAAGTGAAGACGGTCACAGCCCCTCTGGACCATTATTTTGCTTTACTTATTAAACATTAAACACACAAACAAGCGACCCAGCAAGTTCCCTCCTCAGACACGTATTCTGATAAATACACAGCCCTGAAGGGTGTGTGTATAAGTTGGTCTATTTTGCAGGATTATCTGGAGCAGGAGAAAAATTCCGATGAGTTCAACGCTCATCAGTAGGAGGTTGGTTAAATAAAAGATGGTGAAGTCATAGCATGCAATACGACGAATGAAGCTGTGAAAGAAAAAAGCAGAGTTTTGTGTGCAGTGACACGAAGGAAAGGGCGTGCTGCATTGATGAGTGCAAAGAGAGGGGTTCAGGGGACTGGGTAGTTCTGTTTCACTTTCATTTTAAACACCGGGTATATGTTTCTTTCTATACGTATGTTGGTATGTAATTGCGTGTGTGCATATATATATATATATATATATACACCATTTTTGTTTATGTGTGTGCATAATATCAAACAAATATATATACATGCCTGTGTGTATGTGCAACTACATATATTTGGGCAAGTTGCCTAATTTTTCTGTGCCTCAGTTTCTTCATTTGTATAATGCAGATTATATTTATATATTTTATAAATATATACTATATGTATATACATATTATATATATTTGCAAAGGTCTAGAGCAGGGGTCGGCAAACTTTTGAGATGGAAGAGCCAATCCCGTCCCTCACAACAATTTAAAAACTATTCAAGAGCCATAAAACAAATGAAATCACCATGATGTGAATAATATCCTTTAAAAATTTTATGAATGAAACTATGATAGTTTTATTTTCATTTTCAATTCTACTTGAGAGCCACATGTACGTACCCAGAGAGCCGCATGTGGCTCGCGAGCCGCAGTTTGCTGACCCCTGGTCTAGAAAAAGTCCTGCGAGGATATGTATACCAAATATTTAAGAGAGGTTAGGAGTGCAGAAAGGGGCACTTAACTTTTTCACTGTCACCCTTCTGTACTGTTTCATTTTCAAAGGATATGAGCAAAATTTGTAATTAAAATAATGAACATTTATAAAAAGGGGAAAATGTATAACTCTCCTCCACGCACCTCCTGACCCCTTCAGCAAGAATATGTCCTTGTCCCCAGGCCCCCAGCTGGGGCTGAGAGCAGAAAGCACAGGCAGGCTGTGCATTGGAAGCAGAGCTCCTTAGGTAGGACCTGGAAACCTTAGGTCTGCTCCAAGGCTCCCGCCTGACTTGCTGTGGGCCCCTGGGTAAGTCACTTTACCTCTCTGGGCCCTGTCAGCTCTATTCTCTAAGGGGTTTGGCTGAAGCACCCCCTGCACAGTAATTCACAGTGGCATGAATAATTCATGGTTAGGGACTAGGGGCCAGGTCAGAACGCAGGGACCCTCTCCCAGGCCTCCAAGGAGACCACTGTAGGTCGCCTTCCTCATTTCCTGAGAACCAAGGAGAGGCCCCTGCAGAAAACAATCTGGGGTGTCTCACCTCCTCCTTGCCTGTCCCTCCCTGAGGTCCTACTGCAGAGAATGGCGCCTGTGTAGGTATGGGGCACAGGGGTAACGGCTGAGAGTCCTGTGACCCTCCTGTGACCCGTGGGGTCTGCCCTCTCCTCCCTGCAGGATCGTGTGTGAGATGGGGGAGGCCAAGCCCAGTCAGCACGCCGGCTTCGTGGAGATCTGTGTGGCCGTGTGTCGGCCCGAGTTCATGGCCCGGTCCTCACAGCTCTATTACTTCATGGTGAGTCCCGGCCACCAGGGGCCTGGCCAGGCGCAGGCCACAGGCCTCATTACCAGGGCCGCTGGCCCCTCTAGACCCAGGGCAAGGTCATGGGAGTCCTGTCCTATGAGAACACAGCCTTGGAATGAAGACCTGGATTTAAATCCATGCTGTGCTGTGCCTGGGGTGTGGTTCCAGGGAAGTTGCTGTGGCTCCCAGGCGCCGGGGCCCCTTCTGCCTGAGTGGCAGTGTGGCACAGAGGTGAACGTGTGGGCTGTTGCATCAGGACTGTTGGAATTTGAGCCCTGGCTCTGCCACTTGCTGAGTGGACCTGGGCCAGCTGCTTAACCTTTCTGCGCTTCAGTGTCTTCATGTCCGAAACAGGGATGATGATAACAATAGCACCTACCTTGGTATGTTGTAAAATAGGTTTATTACTTCTAGAATCATTTCCTTTATGATTTCTGTGATTACCACCAGGGCTACGGTGCCGTGGCCTGCCGTTTCCCCTATATACTGGCGCCCCAGCGTTTCCGTCCCATCATTGTCCCCCCACCCACCTTCTCTGCTCACCATCCTCCCTGGCCCATGACCTCCTGAACCCACCTCGTTATCCCACATCTCGCCTGCACCCCACTCTGCCTTCCTCTACCTGCACCATTAACCCCTCCTGCCCTAACACCCCTTTCCCCGCATCGCCCTCCATCGCCCTCCATCGCCCTCCGCATCCCAGGCCTCTCAGCAGATCTCACCCACCTGCGACTCCCTCCAGCTTGCACTCTCCCTGATGCTGCAAAGGCTGGTCGGCCAGCTCCTGGCGGTCCAGGGTCAGGAGTTCCATGGGGCAGTGGCTTCTGGAACCTCTCAGCCTTGTGAGGGCAGGGATGCTGGAGATATGAGCACATCCCTGCCACGCGCCCGGCGTCATTTCCAAACTGTTTCACCATCCAGTTAACGTCTCAGGTAAACGACAGCTGTGATGGTATAATTTCCTCATGATGCTGAGCAGCTTTGGGAAGCTGGAAACCTGAGTGATGGATTTTATGCCTGAGCATCAAATGCCCTGAAATATGTCACGGGGAGCCCAGTTTTCATCCTTCCCCCTTC